AAAAAAAAAACCGCTGCTTTGATTCTGTTTTCGTTTTACTACATAGAATTGCTAGTAATTAAATTTCAAAAAGCAACTGTAGTTGTGCATTCTAAAGAAAATGTGCATGTTAAATAAGTAAAGTTAGTCTAAGGATGCTTTTAGTGGTAACAAAAATATTATTGAAAAATAGTAGTTTAAGAGATCTTTAAACAGTCATAATAGTCCACAATAACTTTTTCAAAACATTTATTCAATTCTTTTTAGTTATTGTAAATTATATTTAGGAGAAGGAGGAAAATAGCTGGTAAATGTGCAATACACTAGATAGTTTAGAACGAGAGGTCCGAATTCAAATTAAAATATCACAGATGCTCTTAGGACTCATCTTAGGATCATTACTCCTTTTAGGCTTTTCCGGTAACTTTTTTGGTGATTAATCTTGATTATTTTGGTTTAGAAAAATTACATTTCATTTGATGACGGTGATTTACGAATTTGGCAAATTTTCTGCTAGTAAGAAATTCTAAACGTTTAGATTCCCATGTTAATAGTGCTAGAAGACAACGACTGACTCAGCAAATTCGACGTTTTCATCACAAATCAAGGTGTGACAAAAATCATTCTTGTCATCAACTGCCACACAGAAGTCTTGACTACTTCTCTGTACTAAATTTTGGTTACGGACCAGCATATCCAAGAAGTTGGCCACGTGCTTGTATCGAAGGTAAACACCAGTCACCAATTGATCTTCAGAATGCCGAAAAAGCAGGAAAAGATAGTATGGTTTATGGTCGTTATTACGACGTCAGCGGACCGATATGGATTGAGAACAATGGACATACAAGTAAGGTGTAAAAAAACAAGGTTTTATTAGATTAAAAAATATTATATTCTACACAGCCGTTACTCTTCAGTTTATGTTGATTTTTTAATGTTATTGACGAATGTTTTTGTTTACGTGAACATTTTTTTCCCACCGCCTACTTCAACTGCAGCAGAAAACTCTCAACCACCTTTACCATGCAAAAAATCTGCAGCGATTTTATAAAGTTATACAAATAATAAAACAACAAGTCCCCAAAGATCAGTTTAAAAAAGAACAATTTTTTTACCATTCATTTGAAAAAAAATAACAATGGCGAAGTTCACTGATAATCATTTGAAGGAACAGACCTCAGCTTAAAATAAAAGATGTTTGAGAAAATAGATGAGCGAAAGCTGAACGTCAACTTTCAAAATCGCTTCTTATCTAATTAGGCAGTAACGACGCTTTAATACCTTCTGAACAGAAACTGGTGGAGTAAGATAGCAATCAGTGAAATTTTCTGTCGAAGCATGCAAAAAAAAAAATTCTTTAAGATTGTTTGACTGAAGTCATTTTAAGTTTAATATAAAGAATAATTCCAGCAGTAATTTTTTTTTGGAGCTACTAATTTTTACTCAGCTAATTAAATCAAAAAAAGATACCAAGATTAAATGCTTAAAACAAGCAGTTGTCTTTTTCTGTACAACCTTCGACATGATTGGCACTAAATTTTAGAAAATTTAAACCGAACAACTTACTCTGTAATTCAGAGTCTTGCTTTTTTAATAGGAGGGATAGAGTAACTAAGGGGGAAATGTGGGAATTGATTATTCCGCTCAGTAAAGAAGTAATGCCTTCAAAGCAATACTTTTTTTAGTTTAGAAAAAAATGATCAGTTCATTCGAGTTTTTTTGTTCATTGTGTCTTTATTAACTAATATATTAAAAAATATTGCTTAGAACCATCTAATAAACCTTCACACCATTCATAAAGCTTTGAGCAGGTTTTTTCATGTGTCGGGTTCCTTCTTTCTCCAAAGTACGTCAGATCCCGTCTTAATCAGAACTTCTTCTAGTAAAAATTAGCGGTTTCGAAAAATGGGGAAAGTATCACCCTTATGCAGCAAATTATGTTGATGGGTACCGTAAAATATATCAGCTGAAACAGATTCTGTTTCACTGGGGACCAACAGAGCTCTTTGGAAGTGAGCACACATTTGGCGGATACCACATGGAATTAGAGGTTTGTTAATCCTATGCAATAAATTTCACTGTTACAAAAGACGACAAAACTCAGTGGGAGTGAAATGAGCGACTCTTTGTTTTTGTGCAAGCAGATTATATTTTTCTTTAATCGTGTCTGTAGACTAATATCAACTGTTCGAAGCTTTTTTGAAATTCAAATTTTCGTACTCATTGTCTAAAAGTTTAAATTTGGAATCTTGTTATGAAACTCTGTTTCTGAGTAAAATGATGTTCAGATAATTATTACACCTTAACTCTTTCCATATGTGACTGAACGTATCTGTTTCACTTCTACATGTACTACAAATTTGCTATTATTGGGCTGGTGAGAGGAATATTTGAAGAGATTAACAGTAATTAGACTGTAAAAAAGGAGGTTACATCTAGTATTTTGGGAAGGAAAAACTTTATTTGATCGGCTAATGTTTGCAAAAATTCCTCTGTAATAGTGATCAGTTGGTCCGACAGTAGTCAGGTTTTTTATTGTTTGAAACATTCTCAGACTTTTACTCAAAAACTTTTACTCATTTTGCAGTGGTTTGCGTCCAAATGACAATTTTAAAATTTTACAAGTTGATTTGAAGAGAGCCCGTAGTTGTAGTGTTAAATATGTCAATAGTTTATCAAGGTATCTGGAAGTCAAATTTTAATAATTAATATATCTTACCCAAAAAATTATAGCAAAGATCTTTTTTTTTCGTGAGTTTTACTAAAATCTCTAGTGGTTTAACAAAGGCATAGCTAAAACAGTTTTATACCATATTTTTTTATCAATAATTTTATGTCAATTCCGCAAAGGGTAATCATTTTTTAAACAAAGCAGAAAAACATTACCTATTTTTGAAATGGGATTTAAAATGAAATTTTTCAGATTCAGTTTGTACATCAAAAAATACATTTTCGTGGATACAAAAAAAGCAACGAGTTTTTGATTATTGCTATTTTGGGAACATCGCTTTTGTATAACGAAACTAATCAAGTTTCATCACTTTCCGGTATACCTCGATTCTTATGGAAGCTTCAAAAACCTGGTATAAACAGTCACTTTTCAACCTTTGCTAGTTTTCTATTTTACCCTTATTATCTATAGCACTACTCCAGAATTTAGCAGATCAACACAGCCAAAAAATCAAAATAGTGCTCCTGATAATTTAATTACTAAAAAACATTACTTGTTTGAATCTTTGCTAATAATTCTAAAACAAAAATATGTTAGAGATAAGAAGCGATGCAGAAATAGCTGGTAGCTTGTAAAAATAGAGGAGACAGCAACTGTTTTACGTGTTTTCGTAAAAAAAAGCAACGTGTTTGACCAGATGTTTTGGAAAGTAGACTAATTATTTAGCTGCTTATTTCTCTAACAGGTCTTCGAGTATTAAAAAGAGCTGGGCCGTTGCTAGACATGTTTCCTGAGGATACCTCTGCTTTTTACTACTACAACGGATCTAGAACTGTTCCAAAATGCGAAGAGGATACGACTTGGGTAGTTCTTGATAGTACCGTCAATCTTGCAGCGGAACAGGTTGGCTTTAGAATTTCTAAATGCAGCGCTTTTGTGAGATCAGTGTAACATAAATTTCTCTTAATTACTTTTACTGGAAGTTACTTTTATTAGAACGGCATAAACAAGCATTCACATTTGAACGAGGTAATGCCAATGATTTTCAGTTGAAATTTCAAATAAAGTTTAAGGCTTTAGTAAGCTTTGGGAATGTTTATCTGAAAGATTTTTTCTTTTCAACACTATGCCACATGGGTTTTGATGCATTACTCCTGCCCAATTAATATTCATACATTAAGTTTAACTTTGTAACTGTTGCTGATAATTTTAAATTTCATTTTACTAAGATTTTAGCTATCTAGAATAATAATTATGCTTTTAAGCATGGTTTTTTGATAAACTTATTATATTTAAAAACTTTCGTCATCTGATGAATCGAATTAGTAGTCTTTTAAAATATAAATCTTTCTAGAGCAGTCTTCTTGGACCTTCTCACAAGTCTTTCATTCTTTGAAGCATAACTTTGAGTGCGAGACTTGAATTTTAAACTGGTCGTAAAGCTGTTTAAAGCCAGCCGTAATTTCGAGTTTTTCTGTTATAGTAAAAAAAATAATTTTCGGTCAATTCGACCACTTTACTTTTTTTTGCCATTTTTCAAAGTTTTAGTTAAAATTTCTTTTTAGACAGTTTTAAAATAATTTTAAAAGTGTTAATTAAGAAAAAGATGAGCAAAAATAGTGGCGCCAGTTCATTGTAATAATCCGTTTTAATTGATGTAAAGTCTCTTTGAAATGTGTCAAAATTAATATTGGCTATCATACAGCTTTGTATAACCGTTTCAAGTTAATTCTGAAACATTACTGACCGGAAAGAGTGGTAAATTTGGTTATTTTCAGAGACAGAATAACGATTCATTATTAACAAACCGCCTTGACTGTTATTTTAACCTAAGTGCACACCTGTTCTCAGGGTTTACAATGACAAAAATTCTTTGGCTTAGTTGTTAAACCAAAAATTACACTGATGTTGCTAACAACTCCAAATGCCTCTAGTTATTGCATCAGTATATATTGCTGCTTATAAAATTGAGAAAACGCTAACATTTTGCGATTGAAAGCACCGGTTGTGTTGAAACAATAGTAAGGACAAATAAATGACGTACTTTGCTGAAGTGTGGGTGTTGGTTAAGTACAGTTGAAGTGTTTTTCAAGTTGGCAAAAGTTTGTATAGTGCGGTTTGAGGAATAGCCATGCATTATCCATCCACCAGCAGTTGTCCTATGACTTTGTACAATAGACAGATACAGTGTTACCTAAGTCGCATTACTGTTGTAAGAGTCAAAGTTGGCAATGACCTGTGGTTAAAAGAAACTTTTTTTAAATTGGACAGCTCATTTTGAACAGCTTTCTAAACCATTTACTCTTCATCGGTTTTGACGCATCTACAATAACCACAAATGTAATTTTTTCTACTTACCAGAAAACCGGTTCTAGAAAAATATGAAATTATTTTAGTAATTTAGCAAGTGCTTGAGTAGACGGGTAACTATAGACTGCAAAAACAGTATAGCTGTTTTTCTCAATCATTTTGTGAGAAAGCAACAAGCGAAAACTTATTTTTATATTCGCAAATGAATCTCATGAATGAGTTATCAGATAAAAAACAGATCAGTGTCATTTTCAATATAGTATTAGTCATGAAGCAAAAAATTTACTGTTACCATTGGATATACAGTAATCCAAATCAGTAGCATAATTTCTTCTAATATTTTAAAAAGAATAGCAATTAGGCTGGAGTAGTTGGCTTTTCATTTTTTCTTTTTTATTTTTTTGATGATTGATCGTACTTTATCGTACAGAACTAAGTGTTTTGATAACACCTTTT